AACTTGGTTAGGTTCAAGTTGGCTAAGATGACTCATATGTTGCACCTGAGTTTGTTTATATGAATGAAACCCGTAGGGGGAATATAAGTTCTATAAATTATAAGTTCTATAAATTATGTGAAAACGATGCTAAATGCTACTTATATTTTTATTTATATATTAGTTTTTTTAATTTAAATTATATCTATTGATTCGATTTTTATGATAAAGATGTGTATATTAAATTTAAAATAAATAATAATAATATATAATTGAATATTTATTTATTTTTACATTTCCGACGTCAATACTTAAATAATAACATGTGTTTTTAAATGTATTATGGAAACATTATAATGCATTCTTATGAGATGATGAGTTTGACATTCTATCAAGTTGAAAGTTAGTCAATTGAAATGATAACATGTAAATAGAATCTTGYATTGGTATCGGTGATTAGTAACATATACTCTAAAACAAAGTCATACTTAGTTAGAGATGATGTCGAATCGARCTCATTCATAGAATTGAATACCCTAGAATGAATTATGTTGTAGGAGAGAACTTTGAGAAGATTATTCTATCATCAATCGAATTTTTTATCGATGACATTATTTCATCGAGTTAGTTAGGGGTGAAGCACATATGGAATTCTTCGTTGGCGAAGTAGATTTGGTCTTTATCGACATTCTCAAACTGAAGCCCAAACACATGTTTCAAGATATAATAGGACCATGTAGTAGACTTTGATTTTATCCRTAACAAATTACATGGTAGAAAGACAAATATAATAATGGGGTAAAATATAAAGATTTGATTGTTCTATAATTAGACTATTTATTCATTGCTATTTTTTCAAAGAAATTATTATTTGCTAATCACAAATTAACATATTAAGTTGTTGAGGGCTCGACTCATACAAAGGGGAAAAGTCATTTTTCCCCCTTATCGAAGATATATGAAATATAGACAACATATATTTGGAAATGTTATACTAATTGGACAAATGAACAAATATGGTAAACAAATGAACAAATACGGTGAATAGATGAACAAATATGGTGAACATTAAAATGAACATATACTGTGAAAAATAAGGTGAACAAAGTACTGTCTATAGAAACTCATACGGTTGACCTCTCTCTTCTTTACCCTCCGTCACTTCCCACCCCACTTACAGTTTTTTCACCCCACCGTTATATCCCTTACTCCATTGCTCAATTCATCAACTCCCCGCCGCACCTACACCTACAGCTTTGTCACCCGCCTTGTTGCTCCACCGTTGTCTCCCTTGCTCAATCCCATCCATTATCCCCGCCTTGTTGTCACCCTTGCTTAATTACCGATCGTGTCTCACTTTCTGTTCTGGYCTCTTTGAGTTATGTTATGTTATATTCAAATATATATTTAAAAAGTGAGATAGATGATTTCTAAAATCTACTAGAGAAAATGTAGGAAAAGAGAGATAATATAACAAGAAACAAATTTGAGAATCTAAAAGAGGGAGTATTATTTTGATTTTGAAAAAAATAACTAAATAGCAAGGATAAGATGGTGAAAATTAAATTTGCTTTACAGTTGGGAAAATGATATTTTTTATTAACAAAAATTATATGACCATTTTTCAAAACCAAGTGAAATAGGGACTATAAATTCTCTTTTGTTTTCTTTTAGGTTCTAAATTATATGTAATGGGCCATTTATTTATGTTTGACCAGCCCAACTTTAGCCCTTCTCGTACATGGGTTCTATTGCTATATGGGCTTTAGCTTGCAAAGCCCATTAGCTGACGATATTCCCCCATCCTGCAGGAACATTTTCGAATAACGCTAGGAACAAATACATGCGATCCACGCAAAATTTTATAATAATACCAATCACATTTTGGCAAAATATTCAAATAATTTCTCTACGTAGAAGACAACAATTTTCAGTATTCATATATATAGATTAGGTACATAATTTAATTATTAACGTAAGATTATGGTGCAAGCATCACTTTTTCCATTAATGCATTTTTAACATAATTAAGTCAAGATTATCTTTGATTTGATAATTAATATGTTTATATATTTTTTTTTAATATGAATTCTTTTTAAATAATATGAGGCAAAAATATCAGTCTACTACCACTTAAAAGGAGTAAACTACGTAAGATRCTTCATACTTTTCTTTTCATATATTATTTAAATAAAACGTGAAAACCAACCAACTACTAAAAAAACCTAACTTTAGTATAATTTAATGGTTATGCAAGCATGAGCATAAYTCAACCATTAATTATCTATTCCTTTAGTCAAAGATTCGAATCAAATACGACATTTGTTGTAAAAAAAAAATACTAAACCATGAATTCTATTATAAATKAAAATCAAAATAATGTAATCACTAGTTAACTAAATTAAAATATAAATAAATGGATCAATACTTTTTTCTAGTCACTTTCCATCTGCAATTTGATTTACACTTTTAAATGCATCGGTAGCCATCACCTTTAAAGTTTGTAATCATATTTCCATACATTTTTGTTGTAAAGTTATTAACTAATACAAAACCACTTTATAACTAATATAGAATTCACAAATTCTAATATTTTCCTTTAAAAAGAGAAAAGAAAATCCTATTGTTTCTGCTCACATATATTCTACTTTTCAACCATGGGTAAAGTTTTATATGATACAAATAGGTCAAAGGATCGTAGATAAAAAATATAAAATGACTGTTGCTGTGTTCCAACCTCCAAAGTTGTTCTGGTTGCATTTAAAATTACTCTTCTTGTTGGATTCCCACCTAAAAGATTACCTTTAAATCGTCCAATAATATTTAAAATGCTCATCATTAAGAACAAAATTAAATTGGAACAACTATATTAAAATGAAGAACGCTCTCTAATATATATATATATANTATATATATATATATATATATATATATATCTCGTTTATACACATATATATCTCGTTTATACACGTGCCGAATGGTAAAATGTAGTGCCAAATGCAAAAACAACTCTTCAACTATTCACTTCTTATSAAAAGAAAAGTTATTGAAGGTGACCGTCATATAATGTGGCTGCCTCCTTAACAATTGCTGGATGCAGGTTCGAAAATTTGCTTTTCGCTTAATAATCACAAGMTATAGATTAAAAGTACTTTTATGTTGTCTGTTATCATAAATTCAATAGTGTAAAATCGTCAAATCACCTTTTTGAGCTTTCGATTGGCCGTCCGTCCGACTCCATCCGGGTCTCCTTCGCATCATGGTAGCAACCTCCACAGTCATGTGGATCTCGAATTGTAAATCTAGTGCAACTGCGAAACAACCCTCCAACTATTTACTTGTAAGTGAAGAAAAATTATTGAACGACACTGCTATAATGTAAATACCTTTTAATAATAGGTGGATGCAGCGTTGAAAAATCTGCATGGTGTGCAAAAACTAGAAGATATAGATTAGTTGAAGTATTTTTTGTAGTTTCTCCTCTCATAAATCTAAGGAAGTAAAACTACAAAGTACATTGCGATCACATCTTCCAATAATTTTTTTAGCAGAGATGAATAACTTTCCATATCCATATATCAATAGGTAAAAAACAACAATCCCAAATGAGTTCCATATTCTCGAAAGCTATTAATGAATTTTTAACCTTTAACTAAACCAACATGATTAGTTTCGCTCTCATCTTTGATGTGATGGTTGATAGTAAATATGTTTGTATATATATTTTTTAGAATATTACATCCTTTTATTTTATTAAAAATATATGAACACGAATAGTTGAGGTGAGTTCCATTTATTTTATTAAAAATATATGAATACGAGTAGTTCGGTAATTTTGAGAGGGGTTCCATATACTCTATTTTGACAAATATGTAAATTATTAAGATTTGAGCTATTTATGTAATTCGATTTTCTAAAGAGTCTATATATATATACTTACCCCTATATTTACATATATATTTTTAGGATAAGAAAAATGTTAAGTATTCTTAAGTGAGTGAGTTCATTCAAACCTTTTTAATTCTTTCTCTTAACCTTGAGCCCTTGAAAATTGTGTTGTTATCTAGCCTCATAGTTATTTTGATTGGCATATTTTTGGTTCGTTGAGGTCCCAAAATGCCTTGGAGGTAGGTAGCCACTTTAGGATCATTTGAAATTAATTGCATTATTATGTGGCTATATGCGCAATTATGATAGTCTGTTTATTTTGAGATGGGTTAGACGCATTTAAGACACTTACATAATTTAGGTACTTTTTAGACCCATTTTGTCTACTTTGTAATTTTTGGAGGTAGGTAGCCACTTTAGGATCATTTGAAGCTAGTTCATGGACTCAAATGATGTGTAGGAACTTTTAAGACATTTACTAGCTTCGAGGGTAGGTTAAGTGCATCAGGCTCCCTTAGAACACTTCCAATTTCATGTTTGCCTAAAAACCACATCCTAGACCCATTTTGGCTACTTTGTTATTTTCGGGGGTGTGTAGGAGCTTTTAAGACACTCACCTAACCCCAGGGGTAGGTTAAGTACATTAGGCTTGATTAGGGCACATTCAATTGCATTTTTGCCTAAAAACACCATTAGATTCATTTTGACGTAGCAAACGATGGATAAGAGAGAGGTATTTGTAATTTTGTGAAATAGAAATAAAAAGATAAAAAAAAAGACATAAAAAAAGAAAATGGAGAAGTGAGAAGTGGTAGAGAGAGAAGTGATAAATGCGACCTAAAGGGAAGGAGAGAAAAGAAGAGAAAGAAATAGGACATATTCATTAAATATCGAAACTTTAATAAAATAATTAAAATTTTAAAAACAATTATATATTTGCATGTTATTGGACCATGTGAGGGTGATGAGGAAAGTGGTCCCAAACATTAGGGGCTCTAGGTTTTGTTCATTATCCTCCCCTTTACTGTAGCGTATAGCAATATTCGTCCACTTGGAAATGAAATCACATTCGATATTCTTCTATAAAAAGCATGAAACCATTGTCATTTCATCATACATCCCTGAGAAAAAATAAATATAATTTAGCATCATCCATGGAAGAGACATTACAGTTCTCTCGTTTCCTCATCCCTCTTGCGCTTCTCTTTGCTCTTATTCATGTCTTCAACTTCAAACTCAAAAAAGTTAGCTCCAAAAATCTACCACCGGGCCCACCTTCACTTCCCGTAATCGGTCACCTCCATCTCCTAAGAGAGCCATTCCACCAAATGTTGCAAAATCTCTCTAAAAAATACGGTCCAATCCTATCGCTCTCGCTCGGTTTTCGCTCGGTGGTGGTCGTATCCTCCCCCTCCGCTGCCCAAGAGTGCTTTACAAAAAATGACATCGTTTTTGCCAACCGCCCTCGAATGATTTCTGGCAAGATCCTAAACTACAACTACACATCCGTAGGGGCCACCGCCTACGGTCAGCACTGGCGCATTATGCGACGCATTGCCACCACAGACCTACTCTCCACTCATCGTCTCAACTCCTTTATTAACCTTCGACAGCAGGAGGTCAAATTATGGCTAAAAAATTTGTACCAAACCACTGGTCAAAATAATGTGCAAGTGGAGATAAGGACTAAACTGACGGAGCTGTCGTTCAACATTGCTTTGAGGATGATGACTGGGAAGCGATACTTCGGGGTTGATGTGGAAGATTCTGAGGAGGGGAGGAAGTTGAAGAAAGTGATGAAGGAAGTTTCTCTACTAAGTGGGGCGTCGTATCCGGCTGATTTTTTGTCGGTCTTAAAACTAATTGATTATCAAGGATTTAGAAAGAGGTTGTGGAAAGTGTGGGCGGGTGCTGATGGTTTTGCACAAAGTTTGATCGATGGTCGTCGCGAAAGGAAAGCTTCGTGTTCTTTTTCGCCGGAGGAAAGCCGAAAGAATATGATTGATACTATGTTGTCGTTGCAAGACTCCGACCCTGGTTATTATAAAGACCATATTATCAAGGGTCAAATTTTGGTAAGCATGCAAAATTATAAATCCTGATTCTATGAGTCCTTTACTTTAATTTGTTTAATAAATAAAGAAAAATACTTTTATCTCCTCACTAGTCACCATCTATCTTGTTTTGACTACTTGAGAGACATGCAAAAAAAAAGAAGAAAAAAAAAGCTATCAATCCGTAAAAAAATTTGTTTAATGGGTGCAGACCCTATTGGCTGCTGGAACTGACACAACGGCAGGAACAATAGAGTGGGGGATGTCACTTCTTCTCAACCATCGAACAATAATGAAGAAGGTTTGGAGTGAGATAAATGAGTACGTTGGAGAGCAACGACTGGTAGAGGAAGCCGATCTTACCAACCTACCATTTCTTCAAGCCATAATCAACGAGACGAATCGTCTGTTTCCGGCGCTTCCAATATTGGTGCCACGCGAATCATCTGAAGACTGCACAATTGGAGGGTACGATATTCCAAAAGGAACAATGTTGGTGGTGAATGTGTGGGCCATCCATCGGGACCCCAAAGTGTGGCAGGACCCCACGAGTTTCCAGCCAGAGAGGTTTGAAAATGGGGAGGTGGTTGAAGCGAATAAGTTACTGCCATTTGGAATGGGGAGGAGGGCATGTCCAGGTTCTGGCCTCGCCCATAGGGTCGTGGGCTTGGCATTGGCCACTCTCATTCAGTGCTTTGAGTGGGACAAGATCGGCCCAAACGAAATTGATTTGTTTCAAGGAAATGGTCTCACCATGCCCAAAGCCCACCCTTTGGAGGCAATGTGCAAACCTCGTGCTCCCATGATCAACTTACTCTCTCAACTTTGACTTGTTCGTTAAATAGTTATGTGTGTTATATGTCATAATGTGTTTCCATCTAGCTATTTTATATCTCATAAATAAGGGGCAAAGTTTCGAATTTACAACTCTTATTCGAGGAGATATTTGGATATTATATCACTCGACTAGGTTCAAGTTGAATATTTATTTCTTTTTACATTTAGGGTGTGATTACTTATATAATAATACATGTGTTTTGAAAACTATTTTTCGAAAAATTATATTAGATATTCTTGATGAGATGATGGGTTGGCGACTGATCCAAGTCGAAAACTGGTCAACCAAAGTAATAATTTGTAAATAGAATTTTGCACTGATGTGCTCACTCACGTACACTCTTAAGTAAAGTTAGACTTTTGAGAAGCGTTATCCTACCATCAGCAGATTTTACCTCGATGACATTCTTTTATTAAATTAGTCAAGGGTGAAGCACATCTTGCATTCCTTGTTGGCCAAGCACATCTAGTCTCCATCGTTTTTAGAATTTCCAAACTGAGCCCAAATACATGTTTTAAGATAATAGGATCACGTGGTGGCCTTTGATTCTATTCCTAAGATAACAAATTTCACGTAGTGGGCCGGATCTTGGTTGGGACAGGACGGCACGACGGTTGGATCTGGGTTGGGATGGGACGATGTGGCGGTGGGAGGGCCGGATCTAGGTTGGGACGGGACGACAGGATCGAGGTTTCGATGGGATGGTGCAGCAGTGGGAAATTGACGGTGCGCGGCGGTGCGCGGCTCACGATATGGGTTTGTGATGTTCAGCGGTAAACCGGTGGACGACAGGATGGCAGTGATTGACGTTGACAGGAGGCGACAGAGGGGCGACAAAGGCGATATGCTGGTCCGATGAAGATGAAGGTTAGGGAGGAGGTCATTGTAGCTGGGGTGGGGCGGGGGAGCGTGAAGTAAAGAAGATGGGGAGAAGGTGGACTCCTAAACCTAACTTTTTTTAAATTGAAGTTAAAGATAAAAGACTTAAATTTTACAATTTACCTAATTGTCTAGGATAAATTTCAAAATCTATCCCAACGCATTTTTAATAATATATATTTTTTAATTTACTTCAAATTCTAATTATCAATTTTAAATTAGATTTAGGTTAACTATTTTAATTTCATTCATTTTTTATTAGATATAATTGGTTCTCCGCATTTATATWGAATTGGTTGGTATATTTGTTTAAAAAAATTTCAGTATTAAAAAAAATCACTTAACCATTGTTACAATATTTCATAGATTTTGTTATTTTTAAAATGTGCCGTGGATATATGAAATGTCGACAACATGCCTGGAGAAGAGTTATACTAATTGGGCCGAAAAATGCCCATTTGCACGGTTGAAAATTGAACCCATGTACTTGTAGGATTAAGAGGCTTGTAAAACGTTGCCGAGGGTTCCTTTATAATGAGTTTGGAATGTAAATCTTTAATCTTAGTGTGAGACAAACAAACTATTCTACTTCTTTTCTTCTTCAGTCAGTGGACTGAAGTTGTTCTAATAATTAATACATTTTTTTATTTTAATTAACTTATTTATAAGTTAATGAGATATCATATAAATATTTACTTATTATATATATTAAACTTTATTATTAGCATAATCCTTTTTTTCCTTTTTAATTCAATTAAAATATAACTTTTCTGTTGAGTTCATGAGAGTAAAAGATCACACCACCAATATTTGAGATAATAATATATTTTCAGATATAATTAAAAATAATCAATTATAATGTAATTAAAGTTTTAGTATAAATTTTCGTACTATCACAAAGATTATTCTCCATTCATTTATTTTCTCTTTGGACAAGTACTCCATTCAGTTTCTTTTAATACAAAAATATTTGTGAGAGAGAATTCAAACTTACGAACTACTAGTCGAAAATAGATACTCTAACAAATTGAACTAACTAACATTAAATTGACCTACTTCAAACTTAAACGAGGGTATTTTGTATTGTGAAATAATAAACGCTACTTTTATAATATTCACCAAATCATTTCAATCAATTAGCAACTTTTCAAAATTGTTTGTAATTTGTATGGTCATCGAAGGGGGCCAATTGGGAGAGCAAATAAAAAATTACGTTAATAAGATTGTGAATTACACTTTTCATTGATTTTATATATTTATCGTCTACAATTATATGAAAAGTATTTATATCGTGATAGATAAAAGATCTATCTATATACCGATTATTATTGACAGTTAATTATTTTATGAATAAGTCGTCTTTTGTGTTTCTCTCTTAGTTATCAAATATTTAATAGCAACAAACATAACATAAAGTACTTATCACCGATGCATTCCTCTGATTATACTGAGAATAATGTTAATAACTAATTATTCATCTACATCTTTTACAGTAAAATAATAATAATATAATAATATTCATCTAAATATCTACGGCCTTTTAAAAATCTCAGGCTCTAAAGTCTGTCACTCCTTATCCATTCACGGGCCTGTTGAGTTTTTCTAAGCAATTAAGAGTGTCTTGGATGTTGATATTTTTTCCTTTAGCTATATATGAATGTTAGAATATTACTTTTTTTTATACGATGCCATAAATTTTTAGTTACATGGGACAAAAATAGAATGGTATTAAATTTAAATTTAATAATTAAAGTATCAATTTAAAGTAACTTTTTAAATTGTTGCAGAAGCTTTTCGATCAAATTTTACTTCCGACCATTTTTCTCCTCATTAATTTACAATGTAATATTATTTTAAAAGTTATTTTAGATTGATCTTTTAATTCTTAAATTTAGTGCAAGAAACTATTTAATTCTTACCAATTATTTTATATTAATTATTTACTAAATAAAAATCTATTTTAAAATCTAATAGTAGTGTTTAATATTTTTCTAGTACAAGAAGTGGGGTGGGAGATTCCAATTCATGATTTCTAAATTAAAAACAAATGTTAATTATCGATAATTAAGTATGCTTAGCAGTGTCTTAATATTTAAGAGATATATATAATAAATGTTTTCGTGAGAATTTGAATTTATAATTTTTTCCCAAAAAAGAAGGGTAATCTATTAAATAGATAAAGAAACATGGACTGGAATGTCAACCCTTATTCTTTTTTATAGAACAAGATAGTCAATTACGGTTCCAGATATTATACAATCTCAATTATGGTTCCATATATTATTTGTTAATTAATATTATATAAAGTTCTGGTTCCAATTAAGACGAAATCAAATGAAGTAGAATTCACTTATTGGGCAGCTAATGCACTTATTATTTCTCTTTTTTTTTTATTTGAGTAATTTAACCTAGTACTAAATTCATGACACTTCAATAGTATCATAATTTGCGCATAAACAAAAGAATAACCAACGAAATTAAGGAGCTTAAGGCAAAAAAAAATTTAAGGATGTCTCCATAAAAATATCAATGGGCCTAAATCATCAAATTATTGTTTGTAGTCATGTTTTACTGCGGTGGTGATCAAGTAAAATACTTAGTTGTGCTGGTCAGAATATGTTTTTACTAATCATTATTAAAATCCTGACGAAGAGAAACAAAAAAAGTAGTCATGCTATCGGGAGCCGCACACCGATTTTGACATGGTGTAATTTTATTTTCTCCTCTCCTTTATGGAGTTGCTATGACACAAAAAACAATAGTTCTTTTTTATGAAATATTTAACGATTAGAATAGAGAAATTAAAAGTTAAAAAATTATAAATGGTGAAATATTCAATGATATCATGAAGCAAGTTTATCTCAATTTTAAGGGGTCAAATTTTTTCCATATATGACAGCTTTTGAAGGGATAATGAATATTTTATTTATGGAGTTTATTTATTTTTAATTTAGTAATTTTTACCGATATAAACGTGATTAAAAAATCATGAGTTCGAATTTTCATCTGACTCTTTTTTTACTGATAGCATTGCTACATGTCACTCGATTCTTATTGCACTAAAAAAATGAAAAAATTTTGGCTAAGAACTCCCTCCATCGTATCATTAAATATTTGATAATTCAATGTATTTTTAAAACTCTTTGATTTTCTTTCTTTTAGTCGCGAGGTGATAAGAGTAGATTACTCTTTTTTCAAAAAAAAGAAAAAAAGAAAAAAATGAGTAATTTTCATGTATAAAATCATGGAACCGATGCCATTTTCATTTGCACCCCTACAGAAGAGAACTGCAACAAAAACATAATATTCAAAATTCATATATCCATGGAATCAGAGACGTGGTTCTCCCATTTCCTCATCCCTCTCGCGCTTCTCATTTTTGCTCTTCTCGTCGTCATTTCCAAACTCAGAAAAGTAAGCCACAAAAACCTTCCACCAAGCCCACCTTCCTTTCCGGTCATCGGTCACCTCCATCTTCTCCGAAACCCATTCCACCGAGTGCTACACAATCTCTCCGATAAGTACGGCCCAATTTTATCCCTTACAATCGGTTCCCGGCCGGTGGTGGTTATAACCTCCCCCACCGCCGTCCAGGAGTGCTTCACCAAAAACGACGTCGTTTTCGCCAACCGCCCTCGCCTGCTCTCGGGCAAGTACATCAACTACAACTACACGGCGGTGGGATTCGCCCCCTACGGCCCGCACTGGCGCAACATGCGCCGCCTCGCCACCACCGAGCTACTCTCCAACCACCGCCTCAACACATTTCTCAACGTCCGAGTGCAGGAGCTCAAGTTGTGGGTCAAAAATTTGTACCGATATTTAGTAAGCAACGACGAGAGTGATAATAATTTTGTTAGAGTGGAGATGAAGTCGAGACTGAACGATCTGTCGTTCAACACGCTGATGAGGATGGTGAGTGGGAAACGGTATTACGGTGATGAGGTGGAGGACGTTGAGGAGGCGAGGGAGTTCAGGGAGATCATGAAGGAGCTTCTTCGGCTGAGTGGGGCGTCGAATCCAGCGGATTTTTTGCCAGTTTTAAGGGTGTTTGATTATCAGGGGCTTGAAAAGAGGATGCTGAAAGCGAATCAGCGATCAGATTCGTTCTTACAACGTCTGATTGATAGGCAACGGGAAAGGAGAAGTTGGCGCCGCCAGGACGAAGATCATGGAAAGAACATGATTGATGGTCTGCTGTCGTTGCAAGAATCGGAACCTCAGTATTACTCCGATGATATTATCAAGGGTCATGTTTTGGTAAGTCAAATTTTAAGTATTAACTTTTGAATCTTAGTTTCTGTCTTCAACGATTAAATTATGGAAAAAACTTGTTTTTCGAAGTCTCTTGACATCATTAAATATGTTGGTGGAAAGAAATTACAAAAACAAATAATGAATTGTTAAATATTTAATGATATCAGAAGAATAAATTTTGTGAAACAACTTGTTACTTAAAATCATTAGAGGCAAAAATTAAAAAAAATGAATGGTAAAGTATTTAATATTGTTAAAGAATTTTAAAGAATAAAAAATTTCCTTAAATTATTAATAAATTTTATAAAGAAAAAACTTTGAGTACGTGTTCTTTTTAACACCATTAAATATTTAACAAATCATTATTTTTAAAATTCTATTTTTATTTTTACATTTTTTTTAGTGGGGGTAAAAGAGGAAGTTCCTTAGGAGCCAATTTTTTTTTTGTTTTTATAAGTATCTTTTATTTTTGTACCTAACTTTTAAAATATTTAGAAACTAGTAACAAATCGTTGGAGAATGAGATCGGAGATATTAGAAAATTTTCTGGTATCAGAGGGAGCACTGATATTTTCTTGTCAAAGTCGTATTAAAGATGATTGGAATTCAAATAATAAATACGAATATCTTGTGATGCGGAAAAGACCGAAAACAGCTTACTCCACTCATTCCAAAATAAAAAATATATACATTTTAAAATGAGTATTATCTTTGGATACAAATAAAATGGTGACGTAATAAAAGAAAATATGAGTGATGCAGACCATACTAGCGGCTGGAACTGACACAACAACGGGAACAATCGAATGGGCGATGTCGCTACTGCTGAACCATCCAGCGGTGATGAAGAAGGCGTGGACCGAGATAAGCGAGTGCGTGGGCGAGCATCGGCTGGTGGAGGAGGCGGATCTCAACAAGCTA